TGCTGAATCAGCCCATCAAGTTCAGTACTGTCTGCTTAGAATGAGGGCAGCTCTCCAGGGTCTCAGGCGGAGGTCTTCCACATCACCTGCCACCTGGTCCTTTTAACTGGAGATGCTGCCGGGGATTGAACCTGGGACCTCCTTTCACACCACCTCCTGCCTGGTCCTTTTAACTGGAGATGCTGGGGATCGAACCTGGGACCTCCTCCATGCTAAGTAGAGGCTCTTCCACTGGCCACGGCTCAAGGATTTGTCCGTTCAGTGGCCCCAAACCTCACAACACTGTGGACAGCCATACATCTGTGCCACCCGACCTGCACAATCCGGGCACAGTGACAGTGCCAGGGCTGCAGTCAATGCACTTAAAGTTTTGTGAAGGGGTGTTTGTTTTTTGGTGGGGGTCGCTGAAAACTTTGTGAAGGGTTTTTTTTGGGGGGGGGGACAGTTCCTCCCCATTATTTGACAGAAGGATTTTATTTTTATTTTTCCCCATTCAAGAAACCAATGCCTTTTTAAAAGAATTAAATAAAAGAAAAAACTGAAGATGGCAAAGCTGAAAATCTGCCAAGGGTGAAAGCTCTTCTTTGATTAACATTTTCAAGGTTATATAGAGAGGAGGCTGGAATGAGAAGGAAGCGTTTACGAGGAGCAACATTAAAAGCAAAATTCGCTGCCCAAACAGTCAGGGTCGCCAACAATGTTCCCTCTAAGCTGTGGAGTCTTTTGAGCAAAAATTCTACTTTGTGAGCTCCTGGCATTAAAGTTGTGAGCAAGCAATTTGGCTACTGCATAAATTAGTTTGCTCTGGAGCCATCCTTCCTGAGCTAAGACAAAAATGTGTGAGCTGGAGGCTAAAAAACTGTGAGCTAGCTCACACTAACTCAGCTTAGAGGGAACACTGGTTGCCAACTCCAGGTTGGGAAATCCATGGGGATTTGGGGGAGGAGTGGAGCTTGGAGAGGACGGCATTTGGGGAGGGGAGAGGCTTCCGTGGGGCACAGTGCTACGGAGCCCACCCTCCCAAGCAGCCCTTTTCCCCGGGGGAACCAATCTCTGTCATCTGATAATCAGTTGTCACTCCTGGAGACCTCCCTGGCAGTTGGCAACCCGACCCAAACGTCCATACATTTTGCAGGTGGAAGAGAAGGACCCCGCAAGAATGTGGGGAGGAAGCGCTCCATTTCAGCAGGCAGCCGAACGACATAAAAATGTGCTCCAGGGAACACCGGAGGTATCAACGAACAAGCCGATCCGTCTTTTTAGCACTGCTGTCCAACTACAGTTAGTTGGTTTTTCAAGGGCAACACACCTCTGCAGCACACCCAAAGTCTTCTCAGTGCTCCGTGAGCGAATGGGCAAGGGGAAGGAAGGGTACAGCGGTGCCGTTGAAGAGGATAAGGAGAAACCTTCCAGGTTCCTCATTGTCAGGGGTGATTTCCTGCAGGAGCGCACAGGAGCGGAGCTCCGGCAGTAAAGAGCCCAGGGGGCAGGCACATGCAACAAGCCCCACCCCCTGCTCCCAGCAGCCCTCAGTCAGAGCAATAAGCAGCCAGGTAAGTTGCAGAGTACTCCGCCTTCCCGGTCCAAAACAGTTTAGTGGCACCTTTAAGGCCAAGTTTTGTTCAGGTAGAAGCTCTCCCTCCTCTGTGAGGACAGATCTGCACATCCCCCCCCCAGCTAGCAATCCAAAACAGTCCAGTGGAGCCTGAGCAGTGGGTGTTGCCTTCTGACACACTTCCGGTGATGTCAGGGGGTGTGGCATATGCAAATAAGTTATGCTAATGAGCTCCTGCACCTCTTTTTCTACGAAATGACCCCTGCTCCTTATAAAACGTGGGTGTCCGTGAGGGGATTTTGCACTGGCCTGGAAATATGTATGGTAATGCAAACAGATTTAGTTTGTGTCACTGCATATCACAGAACGATGAAGAAGAAAAAAGATCTTAAAATGCAGATTTATGAAAGAGCTTACCTTTACTGCCAATATCTTCCCATTGAGGGCATGGCTTGCTCTGCATTTTGGGGGAGAAAGTATCAGTTAGAAGGACAGGAAAACCACAACCACAATTCAAAACGTTAAGTCCAGCTTCTTAAGATTTGCAGCTAAAGCCAACCTTAAACAATCCTGCTTCTTCATTAATTTTTGTTTCTATGGAATAATTATTTTATTTTATTTATTTCACTGTGTGGCCTTTGTATTCTGCCCTCCCTGCAAGCAAGCTCAGGGCAGGTAACCATCAAATTTCATTCACATGTCAATTCATTGTCAAACATTAAAACATTCCATCTAAAACAAATTTAAATTTAAACGAGCCTCACATTGGACTTTCTCCCACTTTCCCACCCTTCTCAGATGAAGCAGGTGGCCTCGCAGTGGCGACACCCCAACTCTGGACAAGCCAGATCTTATCATTCAAGAGGCAGACGAAGGGGGAGCCGTTGTCGTCATGAATAGATGAGACCACACCCAGGAGGCTCCAAGACAACTCTCAAAATACTGCTTTATACAAACTGGACTCAGAAACCACGCAGGAATACAAACAAGAAGTAGACAAGATTATGAAGGAATGAAAGGTAAAGGATTCCCTTGCTCGAAAGCTAGTCGGATCTGACTCTAGGGGGTGGTGCTCATCTCCGTTTCCAAGCCGAAGAGCCAGTGCTGTCCAAAGACATTTCCATAGTCATGTGGCTGGCATGACTAAATGCCGAGGCACACAGACCGCTGTTCCCTTCCCACCGAAGCGGTACCTATTTATCTACTTGCAATTTCTTGCTTTCGAACTGCTAGGTTGGCAGGAGCTGGGGGCCAGAGACGGGAGCTCACTCCGTCACACAGCATACTCGGGTCTCGAACTGCCGAACGACAGACCTTCCGGTCTGCAGCTCAGCGTCTTAACCTCTGAGCCACCATGACCTCTATAAAGGAATTCAGGAACAAATCCTTTCAGACACACCACAGAAACCTTGACCAGGTACCTTTTATCTTCTACCCAAAATACACAAGCCAGGCAACCCGGGACGGGTGTATCTGGATAAATGGACTCTGTTCTAAGACCCTATTGCCTCAGTGCTCCTGGTTAATGTGCGCGGCACCACAGATTTTCTGAGGAAAATGCAATCGTTGAACAGCCTTCCAGAGACTACCATTTTAGCCACCATGGATATGAAATCTCTGTGTACCAACATCCCACACAAAGATGATTACAAGCAGCGTTCCCTCTAAGCTGAGTTGGTGTGAGCTAGCTCACAGTTTTTTAGCCTCCAGCTCACACATTTTTCTCTTCGCTCAGGAAGGATGGCTCCAGAGCAAACTAATTTATGCAGTAGCCAAACTGCTCACTCGCAATTTTAATGCTAGTAGCTCACAAAGTAGAATTTTTGCTCATAAGACTCCGCAGCTTAGAGAGAGCATTGATTACAAGCCATAAGGAGCATGATTTTTGACACCACCACAGCTGACTTCGCCACCAAACTGCCATTTTGTTCTCACCCGTAACCACTTCAAACCTGGTGACTTGTTCCTACAGATCAATGGTACAGCCGTGGGCACCTGCATGGGCCCACAGTATGCTAATATCTTTATGGCTGACTTGGAACAATGCTTCCTAAATGCCTATCCACTCACACCTCTCTTATACCTGAAATACACTGATGACATCTTTATTGTCTGGGCACATGGTAAAGAAACCCTGGACCCCAAATCTTGAGAACTGGAAAGATAAAATGGAGGATTACGCCGTTATAGCAAAACTGACGAATCATATAAATAAAAGATTGAACAGTGAATTTGAGAACGATCGGAGAGCTTTTTATACCTCTTATAGATAAAGCTGTAAGACGAGAGATAATATTCAGGGACTTTAAACTGATAAAGAATTTAAAAATCATATAATTATAGTAAGCGTAGTTATTGTTATTAATTAATGTTAATATTTTATATGTATATATCTGGATTTGTATTCCACCCTCCCTGCAGGTGGGCTCAGTTATATATCTAATCTGTTATTATACAAATCTTAATTTTTATATGGAATACTATCGTCTGTTTTTTCCTTATTATTGCCATTTGTTATGTCATTCCATTTAAACTATATACAAAGACACGAGAATTTCATTTTCTTCTTGCCCATATGTTTTTCTTCACAGCCTTCTAGGTAGGAAATTATGAAAATATATTATGTGGAAATAATCGTATAGTCTGTCTATATAGTTACAGCGATTTATTATGACTTTTCATGTTCTATATTTTCATATTAATGTTTGTCCTTAATATTTGTAAAAAACTGATGATTTTGTTTTTCTCTCTATTCTTTTCCTTAACCCTTTTTAAATTTTGTATCCCTATAAAATATTAAAAATAAAATTTTTAAAAAGGCAGCCTGGACAAGTTCCACTAGGCATTCAACAACTTTGACCCCACCATCAACCTGACAATGAACCAATCTATGCAAGAAATACATTTTCTGGACACTACTGTAAAAACACACAACGGACACATAGAAACCACCTTATACTGGAAACCTACTGACAGACAAACATATCTACATGCCTCCAGCTACCATCCGAAACATACCAAACCCATTGTATACTGCCAGGCTTTGCATTACCGTCGCGTCTGTTCCAATCCTACAGACTGAATTTCTCACCTGAGGGATCTACAACAAACCTTTTTGGAACTAAAATATCCACTTGATGAAGTCAAGAAACAGATTAACAAAGCCAGGATTTATTTATTTACCCACCCAGAGAAAACCTGTTGCAAGAAGACAGGTATTGAAGAGACAATAACAGAACACCACTAGTGGTCACATGCAACTCTCAACTCTTACAACTGCTACTGGATAATGACAGCTCTCTTTCACAAGTACTGGGGGCAAACCTTTCCTTGTGAACAGACAGCCCCCCCCAATCTTAAATAACTCCTCACCCACAATAATCTATATATCTAATAGCCAAGCTGCTCCCTCCGTGCGGATATCTAAATCCGCACATCGGGGGCACTTGGGGGGCAGAGAGATTTTCCTGCACACTTGGAGCAGTCCCCAGGTGTGCAGAAAAATCTAAAGAGTTGAAAAAATATATACGGGCGATACTTAAATCCCCCCTGGCAACTGTCTTGCCGCCGCCCCTACCGGGGGGGGGGAGAAAATTTGGTGGGCGGTCGCCAGGGGGGAGGGAGAAGGCTTGGCGGGCCGCCGCTGGGGGGGAGGCTTGGCAGGCCACTGCCACTGGATTAACAGAGATATTGGTTTCTTATCTCACTACACATGCTGACATCATTCAGTTCTCACATCTGTTGGTAAATTATTTTATCATGCTGCATGCTAATTATCTGCTATTCGCAGGCCTTACCATAGAATCCTAGAATCATAGAGTTGGAAGGGGTTATACTAGCCATCTAGTCCAACCCTCTGTTCAATGCAATAACAGCCTACAACATCCCTGACAAGTATTTGTCCAGCCCCTGCTTAAAGACTGCCAGTGAGGGGGAGCTCACCACCTCCCTAGGCAGCTGATTCCACTTCTGCACAACTCTTACTGTAAAAATGTTTTTCCTGATATCCAGCTGGTACCTTCCGGCCCTTAATTTAAACCCATTACTGCGAATCCTGTCCTCTGCTGCCAACAGGAGCAGCTCCCTGCCCTCTTCCAAGTGACAGCCCCTCAAATCCTTCAAGAGAGCAATCATGTCCCCCAATCTCCTCACCAGACTAAATTTCCCCAAGTCCCTCAGCCTTTCCTCGTAGGGCTTGGTCTCCAGGCCCCTGATCATCCTTGTCGCTCTCCTCTGCACCCGCTCCATTCTGTCCACATCCCTTTTGGAGGGAGGCCTTCAAAATTGCCTTCATCCAGTCTTAGCTATATTTATTGCTCATGTTGCAGTTTTATATGCAAAGTATTCTATAAGTGCTGCATTTTATGTTGTTAAAGGAGTAAAAATTAGTTTGGAGTTGACAGGACAGTTAAGTACTGTCTATATTTCAACTTTTCCCAAAATTTCAATTTTTCTTAGCCCCCCCCCCAAAAAAAAACATACACCAGGGGAAAAACAATTTTTTCCCCTGGGGCTTCAAAATGTCCAGAAATGTTCCATCTCTAGAGGGGATAGAGGGGAAAGTGTGGTGCTGCTGCAAACAATGGTCCCTCTAAGCTGTGGAGTCGTGTGAGCAAAAATTCCACTTTGTGAGCTACTGGCATTCAAGTTGTGAGCGAGCCATTTGGGTACTGCACAGATTAGTTTGCTCTGGAGCCCTCCTTCCTGAGCTAGGACAAAAATCTGTGAGCTGGAAGGTAAAAAACTGAGCTAGCTCACACTAACTCAGCTTAGAGAGAACACTGGCTGCAAATACTTGCACATCCGGGCCCGGCCTGGTGGCCGGTACCCCGCAACCGAGCCATAGTTTTAATAACTTGTGTATTTTATATTAATATTTGTATTGTTGTTTACCTATTGGTTCTTGTGCAAGCCGCCCGGAGCCTGCCTCAGTGGGGAGGGCGGGGTAAAAATCAAATAAATCAAATACAAATAAATAGCTTTCCTGGGGAGAGGCTGCCAGGGGGAGAGAAAAAAAGGAAAGCTGAAGACGGGGGGGGGCTGATAAAGGGGGGCTGGCTGGGGCTGGGAAGGAGAGAAGGAAGCAGGAAAAGGGGAGAGACTATGGGGACTCTCGGAGAAGGGAAAGAAGAAACAGGTGTTTGTTGTTGTTGTTGTTCAGTCGCACAGTCGAGTCCGACTCTTCGCGACCCCAAGGACCAGATCACGCCAGGCCCTCCTGTCTTCCGCCGTCCTCTGAAGCTGGCTCAATTTCATGTTCGTTGCATCGATGACACTGTCTGAGTGGAAAATGAGATTGCCCGCCCCCCGCAAGACAGGAGAGCCAGTTTGGTGTAGTGGTTAAGTGTGCGGACTCTAATCTGGGAGAACCGGGTTTGAGTCCCCACTCCTCCACTTGCACCTGCTGATGTGACCTTGGGTCAGTCACAAGCTCTGGCGCAGCTGTTCCTGAAAAAG